ATTCACGATCTTGTGTTGTATCCATTTTTCTCGTCCCAGTGAGCCATCATTGGTAATGAGCCAGCAATATGAGGTACAAGATTCAGTAGTCAGGGCTGGTCATCCAACTCATTCATTTTCAGAGCTACGAACAGGAGACATATCTAAAAGCGCATGAATTGTCCCGTATATATACACCACTGAAATCCCCCAAAACTACACCTACAATTCAATTCTCTTGTCACTTTGTTCATCAATTTTTAAATTACCTCTTTTGACCAATCTTATCTCTTTTGCAATCAGAACACAACTATTAAGAATGTGAACAAGCAAAGAAACTAAAAGAGTTACTCACGGTTGTCAACAAAGAGGAGGTTTGACAACACATTTCAACCAATCCAGAATGTCATAGATTATATTAGTCCAATTATTTTTTATCTTTTGGTACCTTTTTATCTTTTATTATTATTCCTTCTATCTACTTTTGCAAGTCTAAATTATAATATATATATATATATATATATATATAGTATAACTAAACTTAACTATTCACTTATTTAAATATCATAATAAGCTTTAATATATTAAATAAATTGATTATATTTTTTAGATATTCAAAATCTTAGTAATAATAATATTTTTAATAAAACCACTTATAATATTATTATTTTTTGATTAAAAACCCAAATTCCTATAAATATTTTAAAAGAGGTTCTTGAAGATATTAAGTATTAAATTTAAGTTGTTTTTAGTTTAAATGTCTTGATGTCTTCATTGAGCATTTAATAATACTTTTATTGTATAAACCCATATTATTAAGACAATTAGAAAATTATTTTAACATTCAAAAAAATAATCAATAATACAATATATGCTTTGATTCAATAAAAAATAATTTATTAAAAAATAAATTTGTCATTCATAATTTATTAATTTTATTTTTTAATTTAAATATATTAATTTTTAAATTTAAATAATTATAGAATTAGAATTTAATATAAAATTAAGTCATAACTTAAAATACTCAAGAACCTAAAACTAATAAATATCTTTAAAAATAAAAGAATCTCTATTTAAAGTTTGTGATAAGATATAGTTATTTTGATGTAATATATAAAAAAAATATTATAAATAGAAATATTATAAATTTATAAAATTTATAAAAATATTATTTTTATTTATAAAATTTCAATTTACTTGTATATTTATTTTTATTAAAAATATATATAAATAAATAAATAAAAATCTATAATTTTAGCTTAAGTTTATTTTATTTTATTTTATTTTATGTTAAACTAAAAAAATATTAAAATAAAAATAATTAAAATTTTAAGATAAGACTTTTAGTTCTAAAAAAATATTGAAATAAATAAAAATAATTTATGCATTGCTTTACATAAGATATTATTAAATCTATTTAGAATTCATTTAAAATTTTAAAAAATACATGTAATTTTTTTTTTTTTTAAATTATATAAGTCTACACCAAAAATCAATCGCTGAGAAGAAGTGCAACTAGTATAAAATAATAATAATAATAATAATAATATATAAAAATAAAGGGACTTGTTAAAACTACACTCTAATATTGTTAAAGCCACACCCCTCTTCACACTAAATGATTCAAATTATACTAATCGTATATTCTCAATCCCGTTTCTATCATATGTCCTTTGTTTTCCATTCTTGTACCACATTTCCATCCACCATCCTTCACCCCAATCCCACCACCCTGTCTCAACCCCCTTTGTCCTGATCTCACCACCTTGTTCCAACCTCCCCATGTCCTGATGCCACTACCCCACCTCAATCCCCACTTCCATTTCTACCTTGTAACTATCCTTGTCTTTGATCCACACAAAGCATTTTAAAATTTAAAATTTAAATAAGTCCTATTTTTATAGAAATGATAAAATATTTTTTTATATAAAATTATAGTATATATATATATATATATATATATATATATAATTTTTTTCTTATTCCTTTTTCATTTACCTAATCATAGTTTTTTTTTGGTGTTCTTTATTAATGTATGATTTAATTTTCTTCATAATTATTTATTTTTCTTTTTCAAATTTTATCCACTCTTTTTAATGTTTTATATCTTTTTTTACTTTAGATTTTTTTAATTTGGAATTTTTTTCTTTATTTTTAATTTTTGATATTTTTTTATTACTTAGTTTAAGAACTTCTTTGTTTTTATCAATACCTATATTATATATTATTTTTCTTAATCCACTTCTTGATTACTTTTTAATTTGTTAAATCTTATTTCTTTATCTATATTTTAATTTATAATTTTTTTTAATCAGTTTAATTTTTTATTTATATTTCTTATTATTTTATAACTTTTAATTTATTTCATCTTTATATCAAATCTTTTTTACACAAAAATATTCTTATTCATTGCATGAATATTTTCTTATATTTTTTATTTATTTTTCAATACCTTCATTGTAAAATAATATTGCTTATCTCATTTACCTTGCACCTATTTCTTATAATGCTATAAGTACATATCTTTTTTACTACATTTACTACTTTTCATTTATAATTTTATTTTATTAATTTCTTCACAAACCTTGCATTTTTTGGCATATCTAAATTTTAATTTAAATATATTTTGTTTTTTAATATTATATATATATATATATATATATATATATGTATAATTTTTTATTACTATTATATATATACACAATAAATATTTTTTGCATCTTAGCATTTTAATGCTTATCTTCACTAATTGTTTATGTATCTTATTATCTTTCTTTGTATTTAATTTATTGATGCTAACTTTATTCTTATCCAAATATTTAGTTACCATCTATAATTTTGTTTAATTTTTCTTTTTAGCATCTTTTTAAAATTATTTCTATTTTTTATAGTTTTTTATTGTATTAAAATTTTGAATATTATTTTTAATTTTTAATTTAATAAATTTATTTTCTTTTATTTTTTTAATTATTTTTTTGGTTTAGTACCTATAATTTAGATATAATTTTATAGTTTATGTAGTCATCTTTTCATTATCTTTTGCATGTTATTCATAATAAAAATCTTGATATAGTTATTGAAAAAAAAAAAAAAAAAAAAAAAAAAAAAAAAACAGACTTACATATTATTAAAATTAATATTTTTTTAAAATGTGATAAAAATTTAGAGATGAAATTGAAATAAAATAAAATAGCTATTATTGTTTATAAAGAACGTAGTGAATCTTGGACCAAGATTAAAATAAAGGAGAAGTATTGTCAAGTCTAATGATGGCTTAAATCTTGGCTTTCTATATATTAGTTATCAAAAAAGTCATGTAGAAGCTTTTTAAGGACTATTAGGCTTTTAACTTAAGTGTCTAAGTTGTAGTTCACTTCTATGGAAATTTTTAAGAATAAAAAACTTCAAAAAATATTATTTATAGTCACATAACATATTTGAAAGAATCTATAGTTTTAATCTATATTTAATAGAAAATTTAGACATTTCTTAAGAAATATATTTATCTATCTAATATGTTTCTATTTTATTTTATTTACTTCATTTAAAGCATTAATTATATTATTCTCTCTATTAGAAATAAGTATCTTAAATAGTAGTCAAGTTATTTTATTAGGGAATGTAAAATAAGATAACTAAATGTTAATTAAATAACATAACTGGTAAAATATTGTTAATTAAAATCTTCAATGTTAGGCTTTATTAAATAGTAGTCTAACATAACTGGTAAAATATTGTTAATTAAAATAACTTGACTACTATTTAATAAAGCCTAATATTTAGCAAATGTAAAATAACATAACTAGTAATAAAGCCTAACATTTAGCAAATATTATTTTTTGCATACTTAGAATTATATTTTGAATAAAGATTTATTATTAGCTTTAAAAAATAATTAAATAATTATATTTTTTTAGATAGTTATATTACTAAGTTATATGATTTTAATTTAGGCCTTTATATATACCTTCAAATAAAATATTTAAAATATCATTAAATATATTACTCTTATCTAATAGTATTAATAAATATTGAGACTCTCTTCTAAGGTTGTGGTACATCACATGTTGTATTTACCATTCATATAAGAAATAGCATGTCTTTTTTAAAGATATTTATATCTATTTTAATAGCATAAAGTTTTAGAGAATCCAAATATTTTATTTAACAATTTTACAAATATTAGGTATTAAGATGAATTATTGGCTATTGGTTTTTTATCTTATCAAAAAAATTATAAAAAAAAATTAATAGAAATTGAATACAATTAGAAACTTTCAAAACCTTCTAATATATTCTATTGTTAATTAAAATCTTCAATGGGATTGTAGAAATTTAATGTGATATTTTTTAGACATTGAGAACATTCTAGAGCTCTTAAAAGCTTTACAGATTTAGTTGTTATATTATAAATGACAAGAAAAAGCAAGATATACCTCAATTTTAATAACATAAGATTTAAAGATATTTAAATATTACTTTGTTCTTACTTTTGTATCTAATTTTTTTTAAAAAAATATTTACTTGTTTCTCTTATACATTTTAATGTAATAATCTCTTGTTTTTAAATCCTTGATAGCTTGTAAAAATCTAGCTGTAAATTAATTGAATTTAAGTAATTTTGAAAAAATTAAAATATATATTTTTAAATACAAATAAATACACCTATAACAAAAATGTTTTTTTTAAAAAATCAACACAATTTCAATTGTTTTTTTATAAATACATATGTATGCATAGAACACTTATCCATAGATTCAATGATAGATTTTACATGTCTTGTATTTCAAAGCAAAATTACAAAAATAACTATAATTTTTTCAGTTTCTGTTATGTTGTGGAGAATATTTTTTCAATTTTTCAAGTTTTGCACAATAACTTATTCTCCAATCAATCGTCAATACAACATATACACAAACTATAGCAGCAAAAGTGTCCCACAATATTCTATGCAAAAAATTGGAAAAACTCATAAACATTACATGTTTTTTGAATGCTTTTACTTATATATATATATATACACTTACACATCTGATACATCATTCAACAACGATGTTTCTATTTCAAATACATTTGCTTAATCGAATGTTAATACCATTTAACAGATAGAAAGAAGACAAAACTAAGATTTCAAATAAAAATAGAATCAGAATAACTACCATTACTATTTAGTCTATCATTTTCAAAACGGAAATGCTCAGATTAATAGCCGATTTTAAGAGGTCTGACATGGGGAGTTTCAACTAGTTGGAGGTGTCGGTCGAGGTGTTGCTGTCTTTCACCGAAGCCTTCAAATTCCACTACTTAATAGTATGTTCTATTAAAGAGAGGAATATATATATATATATATATATATATGTACACAGAAGGGTCCTTCAATACTCCTAAATCCATCAAACACTAATAGGTCTCAGTCTCAGATTTCTGTGCATCAATGAGCATATCGGCAACTTGCCGCATGGTCGGTCTTTCTTTGGGCAGAATTTGAGTGCAGACCACCGCAATGTTGAAAACACTCATCATCTGAGCCTGGAAAGAGCTCAGAGCTGCTATCCTTTGGTCTAAGAGCTCCACAACTACACTATCTCCATGCTCCCGTCTTTGTTTTGAGACCCACCTCACAATGTCCATTGCATCGCCGAACTCTGCAGCAACTGGTCGTCTTCCAGTTATCAACTCCATGAGCACCACACCGAAACTGTAGACGTCTGTCTTCTCATCCACGTTCAGGGTGTATGCGTACTCTGTTGAAGAGAGGAACACAACACGTTAATTCCGTTGTTGCTACGTGGTACCAAAGGCGGTGTTTATTGCAGTTATGCGAGGATAGTTGTGTTGCTGCAAATTTGTCGGTTACCTGGTGCAATGTAGCCGTAAGAGCCTGCTACGACCGACATTGAAGCATCATCATCAAGGCCCTTTGCCAATCCAAAGTCAGCTATGCGTGCCTCATACTCGTCGTCCAGCAAAATGTTGTTTGATTTTATGTCCCGGTGGAGTATTTGTGGTACACAATCGTGATGCAAGTAAGCAAGTCCCTGTTTCAATTTTGTCAGCAGATTGATGAAGATAAACAGATAACTATCCTTGTTTTTGTGTGTGTAAGAATGGAGAGCATGGATTTAGCTGAAGCAGAGATCTTGAATATGTTACATCAAAAACGATACAAATGTATTACCTGAGCAGCTCCTACCGCAATCTTATAACGAACACTCCAATCAGATAACGTGCTGTCCTTCGAAGCGCCATGAAGAAACTCACCCAAGCTTCCATTTGGCATGTACTCATACACTAAAAAGTTCGTCGTAAAACTTGAGCAACAACAGAGCAGTTTCACAATGTTGCGATGCCTGATGGTGCCAAGAGTATCCACCTGCTCACATCTTCTCAAACGGTTCCATACTTAGAAAACTTATGAACGGAAAGAACTCAACCGCTTCATCCAAAGGTGCCCCACTGTCTTGATGCATATGTTGCGAAAGAGCAAGATAAAATTCAAGTTGTGACTAAACTCATTTACCTCAGCTTTGAATCCATTTTCGTGCAGGTCCATGCCCTTGCCAGCTTCCCACAGCTTCTTTATAGCAATCTCTTGACCACTTCTTAAGGTAGCCTTGTAGACCTCCCCACCTCCGCCACTCCCAATCACGTTCTCCTCGTCTAAGCATTCCATTAACTCTTTGTAAGTGATGCTCACTTGATGGAACAACGTAATACTCCACGGCGCAAAAGGCTGTCTCTCACTCGAATAACTATCGAGTTTCGCCACATTCCTTGGCCCCTTACCAAAACACTTGTTTGTCAACGCTATAAGTATTAATGCGGCGAGGGAAAAAACCGCGGCTATTGAAACAACACTGACAATGACACTCTTCTTCAGAGTCTGGGTTGAGTGGTGTGCATCCATCTCATGGCAGTTGCTTCCTGCCATGCATATATCAGGATTGCCGATAAACCAGTCGAGGCTGAGCAGGTCGATTGACCTCGCCGCAAATCTCCCTGAAAATCTGTTGTATGAGCAATTGAACGTGACGAAGCGATCTATGTTGAGATTAGAGATTGTACTGCTTAGATCTCCCGAAAGAAAATTGTGTGACACATCGAGGAAGATGAGATTTTCCAAGTTGGTGATTACTGGAGGCAAGGGACCCGTAAGACGGTTGCTGGATAATCCCAGGTAGACTAGATTGATCAGGTTGCCGATTTGTGTTGGCACTTCCCCGGATAAAGAGTTTGCGTCTAGATACAAGTCTGTTAGGCTTGATCCGAGGTTACCGATCTCTGACGGAATTTCCCCTGAGAAGTTGTTGTGGTGCGCGTGGAAGCGTTCGATCTTCTTGAGATGGCCTAGCTCCGGAGGCAAACGACCGGTGAATCTGTTGTTGTTGATTTTCAAGGAGCTAAGATTTGTCGCATTCGCAATAGCTGCGGGTATATTTCCTTCCAATTCGTTGTCGTAGATTTCAAGAAGATTGAGGTTCACAAGGCCCCAGAGAGCGTCTGGAAGACCTCCCGAGAGATGGTTTCCGAACATGCGGATTCGAATTAAGCTGGAGCAGTTGCCATACGACTCTGGCACATTGCCTGTCAACGTATTGTTGAATAGTATCAACCTGTACAATGAAGAATTAGCACTTAGTCGAATATATAGATGTGCAACATTTCGAGTTAATCCCAGAACTGCACTGATTTTGAAGCTATTGGGGGAGCTCGCAAGACGAACCTCCACAACACTCCTTGAGCACACAATGTCGGAGGAATCTGACCGTGAAACTGGTTGTTGGAGACGTCGAACTGAAGAAGCGGGGAGTTGCGCCCAAGAGTAGAGGGAATGGTACCGTTGAGCTTGTTCATGTAGAGTTTCACATCATACAACTTCGTGAGGTTTGCAATCGATGAGGGCATTGGCCCTTCAAAGCAATTGTTTTGCAAGTGAAGTACAGCCAGATTCTCAAGGCGAGCAATTCCATCAGGAATGGCGCCGGTCAGGAGATTGTCCGAGACATCCAGATCTGTAAGCGAAGTAAGATTCCATATACCCAATGGAATTTGACCGGTAATCTTATTCTTGTAAAGTTCCAGCCATTGTAGGTTTTGGAGTGACATCAGCGACGCTGGGATGGCGCCTGTCAAGAGATTGTTTGAGAGGTCCAGATATTCCAGGTTTTGCAACTCTCCGAGCCATGTCGGTAGGGCGCCGCTGATACCACACCCAGCGCACTCAAACCATCGCAATCTTTGCAGGTGCATTATAGTATCCGGCAACGTAAACTCCGGAGCGAAGGAATTCCACGACAGGGCGAGGTGCTGAATTTCGACCAGTTGGCCGAGCTCCGCCGGCAAGCCTTCGCTTAGCCCCATAGCTATCAAGTCCAAGCTCTGAAGGTTGCGCAGATTGCCAACAGCGTCGGGTAATGCCCCCGTGAAATTATTCATGGAGAGGTTGAGATACTTGAGCTTCGGAAGAGAAGACATGATCTGAGCTGGAACGGCACCCCCGAAATTATTGGCGCCCAAATTTAGGTGCTCCAGATTGGTGCAGTTGCTAAGTTCGCTTGGAAGGGGACCTGAGAAGCAGTTTTCTTGAAGCTGGAGGGAGATGAGGTTCGGTAAATGACAGAGAGGTATGTGAAGCTCCTCTCCGCCCTTCAGATTCATGCTTGAAAGGTCGACACCTGCAATTAATCGTTGGCAGAGGTAGCTTGACATGAACAGATTCTACACATTGTTTTCATTCAAGATATTTCGTGTTGTTTCCTGGTCAAAGATGATGATTTTTGTAGACTGGAAGCATTAGTGTGAATTTATAATTTTGCGACCGCAACTGAAGCTCACCTGTGACATAGCCGTCCGAAGTGCAGCTGACTCCAGTCCAAGTACACGGCGAAGTGCTGGATTCCTGCCAATTTAGTAGCGCATTTTTCTCATCAACTAAAGAGTTTCGGAAAGCGATTAGTATCTGTGCTTCAGGAAGAGTCTGTGCAAGAGCTATATCCTGACTCAGCAGCAATAAAATTACATTGCACCACAGGGCCTGTAGCCCAAGAAATGAAGTCGCCATGACTAGATTGTTAGTCATCACGGAGCAGAGACTCAAGATGTGAGCCCTTTCGACGCGGATGTCTAATAGCTCAGAGGTATGAAGATGATATCTCCTTCATTTTGTAATTCAATTCTTCATTTACTTGCTTGGAAATAAAAGTTAAGAACATTGCGAGGTCTGTGTGGTGTTTTGATCCTGATTGCGTCGATGCGTAGTTATAGTGCACGATTACTCTGAAAACCAAGCATCCATGTTGTCATGCATGTGCGACCCTATTTGTATGAACCTGGGTCACGGCAGTTCCAGAATCAAGTATTATTCAGATTATGAATACCTCAACTCTGGAGTTTGTTCCTAAAATGCGGAAAGCAAGCATCTATTCTTAAAATGTTGCACAAGCACCCTGCCAGTTGCACAGGTCACATTCAGCGCAGGTGCAAAAACCCAAGCTATGTGGAAATGACAGACAGCAATCAGCAGGGACCACAGAGCCATGTAGGACTGGAGAAACTCTAAATCAAGGGGAGTTAAAAGAGAACAAATGCATGAGTAATCACGTCCCCAGAATGAGTGGATCTAAATAAGGACAAATGCGCAGAGATCAGTTACAGAACGTTACACACTTAAGTGCAGGATCATTTGGGTAGTTGTGTTCTTCGTCTAAATCACGTGACTGGGTCACCTTCTCGAAACTTTTTTTCCAAATCACTCGCTCAGCTTAAGATTTAAGCTGCTCTTCTGGACCACTTCGGTAAGTAAATTTCGCATGACTCACCTCTAACTTGCTATGGAATGGAACCAGAATCGCTAATCCTTACTCCCTTGTATACCTCAGTCTGCATAACTCTCTAGAGTATGCTTCTGCAATGCTCTTTGAAGATATCCGGAATTTCCACAATACCCACAAATTTCCAATGACTTTCACTCAGAAATCAATTTGATCTTAAACGTTGAAAGTTCAGCTTGATTCAATGTCTCATTTTCAAATTGAGGCTTGTTTAGTACGTTAACATGTCACCATGAGGTTCTTCCCAATGACAATAATTAACACCATTATAACAGTGGTTAATATATAGTAAAGGATAGCCACCTATACAGATAGCTTAACACTGGACTTAGTTGCATGTTCCAATTCGAGGCAAGGAGAAGGGTTACTCATCTTAGATCTCCATGGCCATTACAGATGCTTCAAACCATGCTCTCTGCAGTTTTCATTACTTAAAAAGCCAAATATTTCCACAGCAGTCGGCATGCAATCCATCCGTGTCTAGACAAGATATGTCTGGCAATTTTGGCAATTTTTTAATTATTGCACACATGCATGAAGCTGCGATTTTGAGCACGATTGTAGCGTCACGCAAAGGAAACCTACAGAAATTCTGGCACAGAATTTGCAGCCAACAGATTTCGATTCAAAGAGTTTTCCAGCGTGAATGAACCCGTGACAAACCAAGACGGCGTTCAGCAGCTGCAAGGTTGCATGCACATGTGTGCTGCGCTGACAGTGCAGCGCCATTTGTATGCTTCCCCTGCAGGTCTATAACCTGCGGCTCATCCGCAAGCAGGGCACAACTGCAGCAGTTCTAACAATTTCGTCCTTCATTACCAAATTTATTTCATCCAGAACTCTGTTTTCACTCCAGGTTTTAGAAGAAAAAATATTTTCGAACACAACAACAAGACTTCTTTATTAAAATTAGCATTTTTTTTTAAATCCCTAATTTCAGTAATTACTACTCTTGGCACAACTGGGAATTTCAACAAAGGAATTCTACCAAGTATACTATTCAACGGGATCTGCCTCGTGTGAGCCCCAGAAGTCCCTCTGGCTTGCATCCGAAGACACCTCAATCAGGAAACCCTAAAAACAGCATTAAGAGAAAAGAGCTGATGTTCAAGGTTAGTGTAGAATCCACTACATAGGCTGTGATTAGCAATAGCCTGTCAAGGTTTGTATGTGACACTAGTTAGACAGACTTCTTCGGGTCGTTTTTTTTCTGTGTTTTTTTTTTCTTTCTTTCTTTCTTCTCTCCCCTAATGCAGCCCAACGCACATGCCTGCCAGTAGCGAAGTATAGCCCAATTGCCGATTAGGCCCACTAAGACTGAGACTTTTTCGGTGGTATTTGGACACTTAATTCTAAATCAGCAGATTTTGAATCTGCAAAAGAAGCCCTTGGCAACAGAAAATGACTGATTGGGGGACAAGACCAGTACGAAACGAAGAAGTATCTTCCCAAGAGGAGGCCCATGGACAGACACACACACTGCCCTAGCCTAGCTCTCCTGGTCCTCGCTGTCTGTGGACTTCCCCTCACACAAATTAAGCTGCAAGTTAACCTAATCAACATCATGCCTTGAGAGATTGCTAATCTGGCAACTGGGTTAATCTTAAGCCTTCGAATGCAATCCATCTTGCCAGTACTCACTCCCCCAGGGCACACAATCCAACCAACCCAGTTCTTCATTCAACCCACGACACAGTCTGTCTCTCGCCTCAGTCAGTCCATAGCACCCCCACCACCACATCACAATTAGGGCTTCAGACACCATGTATTGTTTGTAATGAAAATTGCAATTTTACTCCTACAATCTGGTTTGGATTATTCAACTTACATCACCATTCTATATTTTTGTTGCTCTCTTGGCATTATTTCTTGCCCCCCATGCTTGTAAATTTCCATGTTTTTCTTTGAAGGTTTACTTGTTTAGTAACTGATTTTGTTTTGTTTTGTTTTGTTTGTTTGTTTGTTTGTTTGTTTTTTGTCTTTTATTTTTCTTTGAAGGTTTACTTGTTTAGTAATTGATTTTGTTTTCTTTTGTTTGTTTTTGTTTTTGTTTTTGTTTTTGTTTTTTTTTTTTTTTCATACTTTCTTTTCAGCATTGAGGTGTGTGTATATATATATATATATATATATATACATATATACACCATTCCTAACAATTTTGATATGAGAAAGCTGATTGGGTCACGTAATAAATTTTGTGACATGTGTTTTTTAGCTAACTGTAATTCTTCTGATCGGTGATTTATAATAGTCGTCTAAACTTTATGGATTTAAAAATCTATCTTTGTTATTGTGAACTTTGTAAGTGATAAAAGTAGTAAACATTTGTTTTGGCTACTTCCTATCTATTATCATTTTATTCCACTCAAGTTTTTGCATCATTAGTCCATTGAATTGACTATGCAGAGACATGGTCACATTCTGTATACCTTCAAGTTTGCAAAATTGAATAATGGCATATTATTAATACTTCTACCATCATACCAAAGTTTCAAATCTTTGAAACACAATTCTTATGTTGACTTCATCAAAACTTCCACAGTTAAAAAAAGCTATCATTTATACTTTCAAGCATTGATAATTTATGCAACAGTAGATGGCGAAATCTCACTTGAATTGTTGAATTTAGAATAAATAGGTAAAAATATGAAATAATTACTATTAACAACTACTATTAATGTATATAATCTTGTCAGATTACATCTGACATAAGCATTATTATAATTGCTTTCTACAAATTATAGTTGTGTTTGAAGAGACATATGAATTCTTTAAAATAGATAATGCGGAATGACTAGTTGAGTTAACTTTAAAATACTTAAAAAAACATGTATTAACTGGATTCATGTGTCTTGTAAAAAATAAGATATTCTAAAATACCTAACATTTTTTTCCAACTTAAATTTATCTATACTAAAATCCACAATCAATTTGATAATATTTCAAGTCTGCTAATAATTTCCTTGCATTTATGAAATCAAATATACACTTGAAGATTGAGAAATTAAAACAGACCACAAGTTAGTTTTCAAATACAAGTCACAACTTACCTTTAATAAAGCATAAAAATTTGAGCTTCACGCATTTATTAAAATTTTAAAAACCATGCTCATGACAAGGTGTTTTGGTTGTTTGTTTTTGTTTAATGTAGATGAAGATTTTTGATACAGTTTCATAAGATTAACAATTTTAATATCCATTTCATTTCACATTTACATGTACCAAATTAATAAATTTTTACATACTTAAAATCATTTACACTATATTACTATATTTAATATTAAATTAAAATATAAAGTCTCTTATACAGTAATACTTACCTACTTCAAATAAGTGTAACAAAATATAAGCAGATTTGTATTATGAAGCTGATTAGATTCATCCCCTGTTTTGCACCCAAAATGTGACAAAGCAAGTCAACAAGGGTTTTCTCATTTTTCCATCATTTTTCTTAATACTTTTTAAAGTTTCAATAATAGAATGTACATACATTACAAAACTTGCATATTTTTGGGTGTTATTGCAAGTCATAACTGATCTTCTGATAATCCATTGAGGCTTCAATCTAAAGGTGTAAATTTTCCATCAATTTAACTAATTTACCAATGATTTTCTTTCTTTGCTTATTTAAAAACAAAAATTGTATCATATTTTCATTTTTGTTTTATACTTCATTTGACCATTCAACTGGTGATGGCAACATGTGGTACTTGCAAAAGGCATGACTAAGTCAAAAAAAAGCTAGTTATCTAATCCCCATCACTTGGAATAATTATTTTTATTATTATTTGATTAAAAGAACAGTGACTCTATGCCTAAGAGCTTGGGCAATACATTGGTTGATCTATATTGTTGTTGTGTGAATGATGACAAAATTCCATCAGTGGATGTGAATGACTCTACTAAGAAGTTGGTTGAGATTATAATATGTTTTTAGAATTGATTTTCTGGAATAAGCCAATTTCCTAAACAGAAAAAAAATTGAAATGAAAATAATTGCCCAGCCAGCCATGCTTAACTATGTGCACAATCAGGAGATATCTGTCAAATATTTCCTAGTGGAGGGTTTGTAGTTATTCATTTTAATTAACATGAAAGAAATTACTGTGTTTAATTTAATGGTGTTTAAGAGCTCTGATGTCATTGACATGCATGCACATAAATGTGAGGAAAGAGTATTAAAAAATCTGATACACAATAGAGACACACTTTTTAAGTTTTACTTATTGAAAGCTATGTCTACAAAATATAAATAAATTTTAATGAAATAAATATTAAAAACTGTGAAGAATGTTTTGATAGCAAAGTGTAGTAATTTTACTCCCAGTAATAAATAAAAAATATAATGATTTAAAATTGGCATTCAATACTTTTTGTACTTTTAACACTATCAGGAACATTTGATTAATGCCTGGTCAAGTATTAAGGGCTTTGCCTCTTCTGCAGTCACTCTTTACAGAAACTAGTGACTTCCTGTGTAAATAAGTACTTAAATTCATAAGCTCACAGACACACCAAGTTTTTTCCAAAGAAAAAAGAACAAAGAATTATATATATATAACTACACACACATATACATGTGCACCCACACTTTAGTTAGATGCTATATAATTTTGATGGTTTTTGTGTTTCTGTTGAAGTAATTGGGTTGGCATAGAGTCCACAAACACAGATGTGAAAAGGGTTCCGTTCAGTCATGTA